CAATGTAGATACATGTACATGTTATTGTAGTTGGCATCATTTTGGTGACATTTCAGTATTCAAAATTTCATGTACTTAAATAAATGAAACACCAATAACGATTTAAAACTATCTTCATTGTACATTGTAGTTTCAGTGTTAAAATTTGAAAAAAAAAGTCAAAAGAGACGTACTACTTTCCAACAATTGAAATTCAGAAAGAATGAGCAAAAACTACATGTACATTATTCTTGAGAATAACACCCCAGATTGATAGCCAAGAACGATTGTATCCAAAGATGGTTTACGGACACAATCTCATCCCATGGCTACGATTATGACCCTGCAGAAAACCTAAGACTAAAAATTGTAGCAAAATAAATATAAAAAATATAGCATTTCCTTGTCTTTTTCTCATGCCTTAAAATGCATGAAGAGGATCTCAGAAGGCATCAATAAATCAATGGCGCACTGCGTTGCAGATGCTTTTCAAGATGTATGGGTGCTTAAAGAAGCTGTCACCTTCTGACCTCATGCATATATACATATACTTGTTGTCAGTGGATACAGGTACCAGACTTGTGCGACTGGTTCAACAATATTTCGACTGTTTGAAAAACGAAAAGGATTTTTGCCCGTTCACGATACAAGGCAGAGACTCTCTGTTGAACATATGCCAGATGTCATTTTGTTTAAAAAGCCATCTCACTTCTATTTTGTAAAACTACGAATAATAATTTTGTAATATGTCAGTGAAGGGCAAAACCTATTATTGAATTTTTTAGAACTTGATAAAAAAAAAATTTGATAAATGTTTAATCCAAACATTCACGAAAGTTCAAGAGGACATACATGTAACTCCAAGCAAGGACTGAAGATACCTATACAAAAAAATTGACATTTTATGACATTACACAAATATAAGACTTCACTGTACAGTGCTATTAAATGAAAAAAATTACTGCCGGGAAAAATTCAATTTTTTTTTTGTAGGTCATAATAAAATTGTTTTCAGTTGAGCACAAATTCTTTGAAATGTTTGTTAGTTGCTAAGTTACCCCCCCCCCCACAAAAAGGGATTAAAAATTACCCTTAGAATAAAAAAACCTTTTTTGTAGGATATTCTTAATTGTGAAGAAAAGCACCTAAAGCAGTGCGGGGGAGCCAGTTTACCGCGTAGTTTCTTGCAGTTGTACTTAATCTTTCAGGTTTGTTATTGATTCTCCTCCGGAGAATCCTGACAATGGCAGTGGGCTTGAATAACCAATAGAACAGGTAGAAATCGAAGCGTGGTGCGATTGTGCCATACAGGGGAGCGATACAGTGTGGCGTCTTCGTAGCTACACTCGGAGCTGGCCGGTTGAGATTTGTATTACTTTGAGTAATTTGACACTAGAAACTGGGGCTTCACAACAACAAAGATGCATCAATTCATTTGTTTGATTGTGTGTATTTTTGTTTTGTTTGTTTGTTTGTTTTTACATTGCAAAAGAAGTCGCATAAAATTAGCCCAAAATGTGCCCATTTGATATAGTTAATCCTAGTTTATGTTGCATTTTATAAATAAATAAAATAAATACATTTTGATGCTTATCAAGCACTTTCCATCGTGTCAACAATCTTAAAGCGCTTTACAATTCAATATCAGTGCACATTCGGTCCTCTACCCGCACAGGTACCCATTCATACTCCTGGGTGGAGAGAGGCAATTGTAGTTAAGTGTCTTGCCCAAGAGCACAAACACCATGTTCCTGGCAGGGTTCGAACCCACACACCAACGTACATGAGTTTCATGCTTTTTCTGGCAACTGGGGACGCTGTTGATGAAGTGATGTCACTTTTATAGGAACACTCTCTCCAGTGTAGGGGTTTTCTCTTTAAATTGTAAACCCAAAATTCTGCTTATTGAAAACATGTGTGCATAAAGCTTTTCATTGTCTTACTGCCATAAACTGTACTGAAACAACAATGAACCACTGAAAGCAGAAAAATAACCACAGCAAGCCACCAAAATTCTGGCGATTTTTCATGCTGAAGCAGATGTAAAACTGAAGTTTCTGCCTTGAATTACATCACATTTTTGCTCATGAATATGGAAAATTGCTTTAGTATCAAATAAAAAAAGGCACCAAAACATCCTAAAAATGACAATATGATGATTAAAAATAAAGTTAAATGGAAAACAAAGTTACATTTCAAGGATTGCATTAAAAAAATCCATTACATTGGCCCTTGATGTGCACTTAGTAATGCTCCTTACAATTATTGTTAGGGGATAAATTGATTATTAATTTGATAATTTAGAGAAGGCATGTAAAGGTTTATCGTACTATTAGAAATAGTTTGATGCAAAATTCAACCCTCAATTTTGGAAAAAAAAGAAGAAGAAAATGATTGAAGAGATTTCATAAAACAAAATACTTATTGCAGAAAGTTGTAATGAAATAAGTTAACTATCTGACCATGAGAATAAAATCCAACAGAAAGTGTGCACTGTTTGTACTAATACATTTGCCATTCTCCTCAATACTTCCCTTTCTTTTAGTTTTCCTTTGCTATTTTCTTTTACTTCTTGAGAAGGTTTAGGAATTATGAAGACACAGCCTGAATAGACATTAAACAAATATTTATCGTGCATCAAAAACCACTTGATCAAAACCTTGGCGTTGCGATGGTCTCAACACACAGCGAGAAAATATAACATCAGACAAATAATGCAGTGTGTATTATTAATATGAAAATACAAAATTATTGCCGTTCCGCGAGACACTGACCAGCCACGCAGGCAAAAAGGTGTTAATGATATGCAAGAAGCTAGGCAGTCATTATGCATAACACGATCCAACAGGCCCAATCATTTGCATTTAGCCAGGCGTGACAAGGATGCTCAGCTTACAAGTAATTAATCCCTCCTGTGCTGCCAGCACTGGAATATTTTGATTTGGCTCGGGGAGCTGACATTGAAAACGTAGGGACTTTTTTTTTGGTTGGCCATTTCATTTTTGCATTTCTGTATTAATTATTTTGATATCGGTATGCTCACTCACTAGGTGACGTTTTTGAATTGTTGAATGAGAAAATAATCGCTTATTGATAATTAAAACAAAAACAAACTTATTTTAAAATGTTTTGTTAAAGAAATAAAAGTTTTTACCTGAAAATGTTCAACGAAGTCTGTCCAAATTGTATTTAAGACAAAAAGAAATGCCCAATAATGGAAGCAGGCAGCCCAAAAAATGCAACATTCAGAAAACAAATCATTAAAACTGTTTAATGTTTTTTCTTGAATGAAATTTTATATTACATGAAAGCCTGACTATTTCTCAATCCACTCCTTTTTACTCCATTCCATTTGGGTCCCTAGATCCAGAAATACAATCAATTAAGTGAAAGGGTGTAAATTTTACTTGGGCCACTCTCACCTGTGATTTCACCAACTTCAATGCCTATTCAATGCCCATTCAATGCTTAACCCAGATTCAGCATGTCCAGGTGAGAGTAAAATGTACACCCTTTCACTTATTTGATTGTATTTCTGGATCTAGAGACCCAAATGGAATGGGGTAAAAAGGAGTGGATTGAGAAATACCGTAGTCGGGCTTTAATGTAACATATAATTTCATTGAAGAAAAAAAACATGAAACATTTTTAATTATTTGTTTTCTGAATGTTGCAATTTTTTGCACACACTCTGTACATGTACATACATACATGTTCATAGGCTAAGATATGTATGTGTACACATACACTGTCCAAAGTAGGCATACCATGTATGCTTGTATACAGTACATGTACACAAATTGTGCCAAGTACATGAAGTATCTCTCTGTATTGGGGTTAGATGAATATAGCACAAAATGAAAAAAAGAAAAGCAGCATACATGTACAACCAGATGGACTCCTTATCCACGAGGCTCTTTGACAGAGCACGATATTTTTATGAGGGATAATTTACCTACACAAGTGCTCTCTCTCTCTTTTGCTCTTGCCGCATTCCCCTCAAATTTCATAACGAATGCTTCTAGGGGATTAAACCGCACTCCCCTGTCCAGTCAAGCGGCAAACATGCTTATAAGAAACGTGTCGTGTCATCTTTTACTACGCTTGTACGCTTGTCGTATTTCATCAGACAATGCAGCTCAAGTGCATGCATGGATTAATAAAAAACTGTAGGCCGCTATTAAAACAAGCTCTTACCATGCAACTTTTGGCACTTAGGGATTTCTGTTTGTCCAATATACAAGGGGGCATTCGTCGAAGCATAGTGGGGCAAATGCCCCCCCCCCCTCCTTTTATTCCGTAAACCATATCTTGAAAGGTAGAAGGAAAGAGCAAAAAGAAGGTAGGTAAAGGGTAAAAAGTAAGTAAATGGGTAAAAGGCCATGCTTCAACAGCATACATACATGTACATACATGTAGCCCCCTTTCCATTGCAGGGTTTGTCCATGCAATAAATGCTGGTACATAGTCCAAGATTTGAGGAAATACTAGTCTTATTTTATCCAACTGCACTGCATTTTACCCAATTCAGTGAGTCACCAACATTCGCTGTATTCCAGAGTATTTCCTGCTTTGTCTTGTGTGTGCCTATCACATCTGACTCATGTTTCCCTGAGTGAAATCTTTTTTGTGCCCTGTGATTCTGGTCTGATCTTATCACCTCAAATCAGCGCGAGGTGATTTTTAATGATTGTGTACCTATGGAATTCCTCTGCATTTTGCAATCTTTAAGCTGCCTATAGATCTTTAAATAAATGCCAGTTGCCCACCTCCGTTTCCAACAATTCTTTCATTCCGAAGTTGGGCGCCACTTTATTTCGCTTTCATTACAACCAACCACGTTCTCTGTTTGCAGTGTCTTTCACCCTGTCTTCTTCCTTAGTAAACAAATACAGTCTCGCAATGTCACTCATATTCATTTGGTGGTGGTTTAATAATTTTATCCCTTTCATGTTCATTTGTACTTTTTTTTTGTAGGATGTTAATTTGAAACTACTTTTTTATTTTGTTTTTGGTGATAGCTCGTGGGCCTCATGATGAAACAGCTCTCAGCAAAGGGATCATCTACCCAGCTGCATATCTGGGGTCAACGCAGCTGGTCACTACCAAGCAGCCCACCAAGAAAGTACGCATGCAACAGGCGCAGGAGGCTGTCAACAGAATCAAGGTCAATATTTTATTGTAGTGTTGCTCTGGATGGCCTGTGGCTAGCTCGCTGGCTTGTTAAGTGGCTGAATGGCAACTGACAAACTGAGTGGCTGGCCCACTGACCAACTTGTTGGCTTGCTTATTGGCTGGCTAGCTGCCTGGCTGGCTTAATGGCTAGCTAAGCAGCTGGTTGGAAGGCTGACTGACTGACTCCCCAACTCCCCGACAGCTAGAATGGCTTGTTGTGTAGCTTTCTGTACATCAACTTATTGCTTGTTGGCTAGCTGACTAACTGATTGCTAGAGTGGCTCACTTGCTAGCTGGCCAACTGGCTTGCTCGCTTGATGGCTGGCTTGATTGCCAGCTTGCCGACTTGTTGGCTGGCTGGCGAGCTCCCCGGTGGCCAGCTGGCCAACTAATTGGCTTGCTGGCTAAATGACTGACCGATTGGTAGACAGACTGTCTGGCAATATGGCTAGCTTGCCAACTAGCTGGCTTGCTGGCTGGACTGACTGACAGTCTGACTAACAACCAGGCTGGCTGGCCAACTGTTTGGCTGGTTGACTGGCCAGCTGACTCCCCGACTGACTCCCCATTGAGCTAATTAAACATTGTAGCCCATTGGTCTCGCCAACTTGTTGGCTGACTGGGTTTCTAGCTGGTTGGTGGGGGTGTAGCTGTTTTTGTTACTGTGCCTGATATAATTGTCTGCCCTTTAGTATTAAAACATGGATTTCATACATCTATACTTCTGGGTTTTTAAAAAAAAAATTGGCTTTTTTTTTTTTTTTGGCTCACCCATTTATCCATTTAATCATTGTAAAGTAGTCCACAGAATTTGAAAGTGACTGACAAATAGCTATTTGTGGGGACCCAGAAGAGTAAATATCTAATGCAATGAGCCACTAAGTGCACAGGCATGTACCCTCGGACAAAACCTGAAGCCTTCAGTCAATACACATGATTGATGGTAGCTGATTGTGTCATTAGGGCAAACCATGCATTGCTCTGTAGCCACCACCTTTCCCAATATTACAGACTGTTCCATGGTGGACGGACATTGTGCCTGGCAGCGAGCCTCCATTTAGTCACACTGTTTACATGCAGGCCAAGAAATTAGACAGACAAGAGTTCGCCAATCATTGATTTGTCTTTGAACTCTTCCCCACCGCTGTTTCATGTTTATACATTCTGATTATTGATTTGTCTTTGAGTTATTCTCCAACGCTGTTTCGTGTTAACTCTTCTGATATCTTTAAGCTCTTTGAAAGTGTTTCATGTTTACACATTCTAATCACTGATTTGTCTTTGAGTTATTCTCCGCCGCTGTTTCGTGTTTACTCATTAAAATATCTTTGAGCTCTTCTACACTGCTGTTTCATGTTTACACATTCTAATCATTGATTTGTCTTTGAGTTATTTCCCACACTGTTTCATGTTAACTCATTCTAATCATTGATTTGTCTTTGAGTTATTCTCTGCACTGTTTCATGTTTACGTATTCAAATCATTAATTTGTCTGAACTCTTCTCTACTACTGTTTCATGTTTACGCATTCTAATCATTGATTTGTCTTTGAGTCGTCTCCATACTGTTTCATGTTTACGCATTCTAATCATTGATTTGTCTTTGAGTTGTTCTCCACTGCTGTTTCATGTTTACTCATTCTATTCATTGATTTGTCTTTTGGTTTGATATTAACTTATTATTAGTAGTAGTAGTAGTAGTAGTAATCATTTCTGGTAATGAAACAAGGATTTCTCAAAAGTGCCCGAGGCACTGTAGCTCGCAAGCCTGAAGAAACTTGTGGAGAGAAGACAGTGAGAAGAAGTTACAGCTTTAAAGGTGGGAGGAAAAGCCCAGGAGAATATTCTGGGGAAAACCCACGGAATCAGGCAGGGACTGAAAACCCAATCCACATGTTGGCCCAAGGTGGGATTCAAACCCGGGTCACAACGGTGGAAGGCGAGGAAAGTACCGCTACGCCAACCTGTCATGACTCCCTCATGAGAACCTGGACGTCAATTTTATCCAAGATTTTAACTTTTCCAGCAAAGTATTACATTTTTCTGGCTATCTCTTTGGTGCTCCCCTTTTCCCTATCTACCGTAGTCCATGATTTTCTTGTGATTTTTATTTTGCCTTCATTCGTGGTTTGTGTGACATGTTTCTGTATGTACTTTGATGACGTTTTTTCGTTGAGATCATTTGTGCAAATATGGACACAAAGACTGTGCATTTGAAAGGACTAAATGTCTAGCTGTTGATAAATGACTGGTTGTAGAAGGCCTTGCTTAAATAATGTGTGCTTTCCTCTCTGGCTCTAGTGATTTATGAGTAACCTATAAACACATGGCCTTTGAAGCTAGCTGTACAGATCCTGTGAGCAAGGGTACTTTGATATGCAGATTTCTTGTTCAAGGGGTGGGGAAGGGGGAGGGGTTGGGGACAGGGGTGGGGGGGTTTCGTCTCTGGCTACAGTATATATCTGGCTTCAGAATCACATAATTTCCAAACTAAATGGAAATCCATGCACTCAAATGTTTGGCCTCATGTAAAGGATTTGATGATTTTGAAGCAGAAAAAGGGACCCGTGTTTAGTCAACGGGGGCCATAAAGCCATGTAGGATCATTTGCACTTATCCTATCAGTGCAACAAGGTTGTAACTCGGACTTCAAACATCTCGAATAATCCCCATGTAAAGTTTTGCGGCACAATGAAAATTTTGTTTTGATATCAATGATGTAGAATTTAAAATGTTTTTCACAAGTTTCATGTCAAAGACAAATTTACATGGTGTCACAAAAGTTTATAATGGGAATTCGAGATGAGTGAAATCCGAATAAAAACTTGTTGCACTGACATGATGTACTGATTGAATGACAGAAACTCAAAAGCGAGGATAGGACTGGTATCAAATACCCTGTGAAATTATTCTGCTTGAAGTGGTATTGTTTGGAAGAACACTAACATTGGAGGTGGTTTAGAAATAGGTTGCCCACGAGCAGACTTTGTTTTGTACGTTAGCAATGGAATCCAGTTACAAGACCCTCAAAATGGTGCATACATCTTCTCTGTTTTCTCAAAATGTATAGTATCTGCTGAGCTGAAAGTTTAACAGGTTAGTTGTTATCCTAACATAAGATTTTGAGCAGTTTTGTTGCTTCAAACGACAATACATGTATGCACACAAAGCAAATGATCCTTCGTACCTCAAAATTCACCTAAAGCCACCCTCAGGTCGACCACCTTGCGACGACACAGAACAGTCAACAACTGACTTTTCAGGAACAAGCCGTTAGGAACCGTTGGCAACATTTCAGTGTCGTTTTTTTTTGCAACCGGAGTGTAACTGCGACGATATTAAGACGATTGGCATCAGTTGGCACTTAAAAAAATCAACAGTCACAAGAGTAGAAAAATTTCGACTTCTGCGTCGGGACGGAACTCGTTCCCGACAGGCAGGAATCAATCGCAGTGGACCTGTATGAAGTTACGACGTTGTGCGCACATCCGGATCATCTAATTCTATTGTGAATCGTCGTCGTGCCGTGGGTGACATGAGCATGGTTGCGATTATTCTGTGTCAAGACGCGGCTTGCTCCATGATCATCACACAATTTCTCAGTTTTGTGACCTGAGCGTGACTTTTGAGCCTAATGCCAACAATTCCATCACGGCGCAAGCAAATCGCAGGCCGACCTGAGGCAGGCTTAAAGCCAAAATGTCAGACGAAGCTTAGGTTTTCAAAGAAATGCCAATTGCACATCAAGTTTATCTGTTATGGTTGAATATTAAACCCACACTTAAATCATTCTTTAGGTTTTTGTAAAAAATAAAGGAAGAAGAAGAAGAGGTTGAATTTCTCATCTCTGAAATTTAATGTTCAAGGGGCCATGACATGATATTGGTTGTTTCTTTTATTATGGAACCTTTGCTTAGGAAAGTTGCCAAAATCGTGGAGTTCGTCAGTACATAAATCTGCCAAGCAGAGAAAACTTAGGTATAAATAAAAAACAAAGGTTGCCAATTGGAAATATTATGTTTATTGATTCTGACTGTTTTGAATTTTAACTCCATGAACTTTGACCCAGACCATGTGTTTAGTTTCGTGGTTAGTTGGTCATGTGATGTCTCTCATGTAGATACATTTTTGATATACTCAAATTTGCACAAATTTCAATGGTATGCATGTGAGAGGATTTTGATTTTTTTTTCTTTTTCTAAATCTCTGTAACCCTCCTATGCAAACATACATTCTGTACAAAGTTGTCCTTTCAGTCAAAATCAGTCAAGTGAATGTTTTTAACGGTTGAGTGCTACCTGCCTACGTAAAGCAGGATTGACTGGCTGTGACTGTTTGTGTTACTTGATACAGCTATGCTTTGACTGCGGGTGATTGATAAGCCAGCTGTGCTTGTCACTTGCCTGCTCTTGTCTGTTGACTGAATTTGACTAGTCACAGTGCTTGTTTGAAATATGATCTGATGGTTGGTGACTAGCCTGTGTAAAAGGCATGGCAGGGATAGAGGATTTGATTTTTTTGATTATCTGTGACTGATCAGACAGCAGGAGGGTTAAAACTGGTTTATGATTTTGGTCAGTGCGACAAATGAAGGCTCTCAATTTTATGGTTTTCTCTGTAGTCCTTCACATTTTGGGGTTTGGGTAAACTTTGATTTGACATTTACGTTTTGTCTGTGCTGTGTTCTAGTAGCACATCAGTTTATTTTTTAACACTAACCATTCTTTGTTCTCTTACAAATAGCTCTTGGACATCCGGTGATGGGAACTGTCTGATTTATTTGGGATCTTTGAAAATTGTCAAACACAAATACATCTCATCCTTTATCTTACTTCCTTTTTGAAAACAAAAACTGACTTGCAGTCTTCTTTTCTTGCATCCCCCACTCCCCCTGCTTAATAGACACGTATTCGGAGAAGATGGAATAAGGTGGTGTTTTTCTCACTCTCTAGATGTTTGATGTTTTCTCAACAAAGCCTTGAAGTTGTCTCTGAAAATATCTTCAATTTTTTTTTTTACTTTATATTTTTTTGTTAATTTTGCTTTCCTTTTACTGATTTGTGATTGTGATGGTGGTGATGGTGATGGTGGCACTTCATTTGCGGCCTTTTTGTTCATAGTACCCTGAAATTTCCTTAAATATTGTACTACATGTCATGTAATTGTATTGTACATGTATACATTTGTGTCAAAACAGTAGTTTTTTTGTTGACATCTTTGTGAAGTGTTTCTGTAGTCAGGCTCTGCATGCGTGTCTGAAAATTAGTACTGTTCAGTTCTAAAATTATTGGTAGCAGCATAATACTTTTTGCACAATTTCGGATACTGACACAATTGGTCATATACTTAAGGTTGACCTCTAGAGAGGATTTTATGTTATCGGTCACGACCAGCTCAGCTCCACTTAAATAAACCTGCTTTTCCACTTGTTGGCACAATTGATTTGTATTATTCAAATGCAGCACCAAGTTTCTAAGTTTGAAGTTAAACGTTCCCATGTCAATACTTTGCTTTATTCAAAGAAAAAAAATGTTAATTTGTGGCAAATTATTATTTTGCTATTATTAATAACTGTACAGTCCTCAGACCTAACATATCCAATCCTAAGTGGAGTTCAAAATTAAATTAACCGACTAATTACTAACATGGGACCCAAAAAAGGTTGGTCCAAAACTTGGGTTTTTCATAGGTCATTACCATATGGGCCATGTCATAACAAGGTAATGTTCACCGGAAACTTGGAGAATTTGTCCAAAAATTCTCAGAAATTCCTGCGAAACTTATTGGCAGTTTATAAAAACCTGGGACAGTTGACCTATTCCTATTGGTCAAGAGCCTGTTGAGTGGGTGGTTTTAAACTGCTGTTTGAACACCGCTGAGATGTTTAAATGGAAGTGTTTAAAACCGGTGTTTAAAAGCAGATCAGTCTTGAGCACACCACGCTGCGTGCACCATCGAAATGGCCAACATTTTTTAATGGTTTTCACCGAAAAGGTACATGAAATATGAATTTGGATAAGAGTGGGATGGAGCAGTTAAAAATGTGGGTTAAAAACAGGTTAGGGGCCTGCATGGCCGATTTCACGAAACTCGTCTTATCTTGCGACTCATCTTAGGATTTAAGACGAGTCCCTGCTCTAAGATCGATCTTAGCTAAAATACCGGTACGTCCTGAGACCGATTTTCACTAAACCCATCTTAAGCAAGACGCATCAAAACTACCAGTTTGATGGCTATTTCATGTTTGTTTTTACCGCTTGATGAAACAGTCATTGTAGAGAAACGCGCAAATCCAACTTCTCGTGCGTGTGCATAGAACACAAACTTTCGTCCGAAAAATGATACTCAATAAATTTCACACGGTATGCAAGGTAGTTAAAACACAAGAAACAATAGAGTCATTCCTTGCTCTCCGTTTCAACACGCTGTTTTAAAAAGTTAACTAGGTGGTGGCGTATAATTACATTTTTATATATAAATTATTTTTATTCAAACTACCCACCTATCAAAATCTTTTCAAATCTGTTTCTACAGCGGTTTTCTTCCTCGAAACTATAACTCAGGCCGACACTCATCTTTAACGGCAATGATTTCGAGATGATATACAAATTAACGCACACATTAGTGAGATAAGACAACCCTCAGACCACTCTTAAGTTAAGACGAGTTCAGCCGCAGGAAGATAGGACGATAGGACGTGATGAACGCGTCTTAAATTTGGTGAGATCGATCCCAGGACGAGTCCCGAGTTAAGACGAGTTACCCTTCTTAAGGTGCATCTTGGCGTTTCATGAAAACGGCCCCAGGTCACTGATAATTCCCCGAGCTGAAGGCGAGTGTGATGGAGCAGTTTGACACCACACGTTTATAACTGCTCCACCATCATCCCCTTATTAAAATTTTGCCTGTTTTCTTTTTTGGACAATTTGACATTTTCAATTGCCTTGTATGACATGGTTGATGTGATCATGCAGATAGCTGTGCGCGGGCACTCCAAAACATTATATGTATTACATCAACGTGGCTCACAGTGCTAGCCACATGGATCAAATGATGACTGCATGCCCCAAAGAGCAAAAGAGTGGATCTTTGCCCAGTGGCTGTGGCTATTGACAACTGTCTTTTATTGCTGTAACAGTCATAGCCATACTTGTGGCTGTTGTCCTAAAACTTTACGGCTCAGGAAATTCAAATGCACATAATAGTCTTTAGCATGGTACACTTCGTGCATGCTGATTGTTGAACAATCACAAATGGTGTTGTTTTGTGTGTGAAAATTTCAGTTATTCCAGCAAATCCTGGCACCTAAAGAAGAAGGCGAGGATATTCAGTTTGTGGTGAAAACTGCTATAGTGAGCTCAATTCAACCTCTGCACAGTGCTTGCATCAATGCATTATTGACCAGAACATGTTTTTTTTTTTACTTTGTTGCAAGCAAGAGTTTTGAGGTATTATTAGCATATTTGATGTTCTATCTGCTGAAGATCTTCTGCAATCTAAAGATCTGAAGACGCATTTTTGGAAGTTTCCGCTAGTAATTCGTTTTTAATTCGGTGATAACCGTAAATGGGTGCGTACAGGCGTTGATACGATGCACACGCGCGCATGCGGTTGCTATAATAATTCGTCGGTTCAGTGCGTGACATCACGTAGCTGCAATCAGTTGAATGAGAATGTGTCCCGGACGCTGATTTCGTGCGCAATTCAAAACATGACTCGGCAACTTTTGAATTGAAATCGAGATCCTAGAATATTGTTTTCTCGGAATATACGGCGTTCACTGAGCTAAACCTTCATCAGGTTTAGTTGTTAAGCACCCTTCTTTTGATTTTTAGCACTTTTGTTGCTTCGAACAAAAAGAATGCACAACGACAAATTGATCTACCTTTAAGTCAAGAAAGACATTACACATTTTGTGGTATTTGTTAACGTGTTAACTTTTCAGATTATTAAAACAAAACAAGAGTTCGTTCTCATTTTTAGAACTGAAATTGATCATAGAATCATAAAAATATTAACATATTGGGCAATTCCACGAATAATAAGCCTCAGTGGAAATAAACTTCAAAAAACCAAATGCCACAAATAAACATGTATATCATTTTGAAGCTTATTATCTGTATTTTATTGAAATAAAGTTTAGCTCTAACAATGTTGAACAGTTCCGCTGGTATTTTTAACTGAAAAATAAATTAAGTACCCCCAAAAATCAATTTGTCAGAGTACAGCCAACACCATGGTGTTTCAAGCCGATTTCTACTACATCAAAAAAAAAGTTGGCTAAATAATTTCTTTTTTAAATCATTGTTAACTAACTGGTACAATATATCATTAAAATCCACAATGTGATTAAAACTTTGATTATGCACACCATTGAATTGTCAAAAATGTACGCCCAACGTCTAAACTGCCCAAATAGTGAATTGCACGTGTACTATATTTAAACCTCCTTTTCTCACTAAGCTTATCCAAATTACATTCAACATATTGAGGTTTCATCTTTGCTTTCTCAAAAAATATCAAATTAACCTGATTTCTGAGTCTGAAATAATTGCATTGAAAGCCTTGAGAAACTAGTTCATTCCGAGGAGAAAAAACCCTCGATCTTTGTTGCGGTTGCGCACTTAACATAATGAATTGCTGATGTGTATACACATGTGTGCATGTTCATGTGTGCATGTGCATGATGTGAAAGCCCAAGCATTATGGCACTGTTGGTTACGTTGCTATAATTATGAATGTACTGACTCATACTAAATGCATGTACATGTATGCCCAGTGCTTTTTTTTTTCATGAACGTTGTGGTAATATTGTGTTTTGCCCGTAGCGCATTACTAGTGGAGACTTGCAGAATGCGTTCATTTGGACTGATCCAGTCACCCTTCATTAATTAGTCTGCGTTCCTGGAAATATTATCGCATGAATCTCCTTGTCTGGCAGCAAATGATCCGCAGCGATATTCATCACAAATGCTCAAATGTACACAAAATTGAATCATTTTCAGATCAGTTGATCATGACATCTTCTTTGTTACAAAATTTGTACATAAAGAACAGAGGAATTTGCAATGATATTCAGAAGGAAGAAATGGGAACGTCTTCAAGGGAAATGATGAAAGTTAAAAAATTCAAAACCTTAATTATTGTTACAAACGAAACAAATGTTCTTTTGCTTCTTTTCTTTCAAATTATGTGTGTGATCTCTTTGGAAAGCTGGTAAATTTGGTTGGTGAACTGGATTGGCCCAAAGACAACGTTTCTGATTCTTTTGTTTTTAACATTTTTGTTGTGTGTTATCCATTTAGCCAAGTTTGTAGTAAAGTCAGTTTTAAATTAATCACAAGTCAATCACAAGGCAATCCCAAGTCAAACCCAAGTCAATCACAAGTCAATCACAAGTCAATCACTAGTCAATCGCTAGTCAATAACGAGTCGATCACAAGTCAATCCCAAGTCAATCCCAAGTCAATCACTAGTCAATCACAATTCAATCCCAAGTCAATCCCAAGTCAATCACACATCAATCACAAGTCAATCCCAAGTCAATCCCAAGTCAATCACTAGTTAATCACTTGTCAATAACCAGTTGATCACAAGTTAATCCCAAGTCACTCCCAAGTCGATCACTAGTCAGTCACCAGTCAATAGCAATTCAATCCCAAGTCAATCCCAAGTCAATCACAAGTCCATCACAAGTCCATCACAAGTCAATCACAAGCCAATTACAAGTCAATCCCAAGTCAATCTCAAGTCAATCACAAGCCAATCACAAGTCAATCACAAGTCCATCACAAGCCAATCACAAGTCAATCACAAGTCAATCACAAGTCCATCACAAGTCCATCACAAGTCAATCACAAGCCAATCACAAGTCAATCCCAAGTCAATCCCAAGTCAATCCCAAGTCAATCACAAGTCAATCACAAGCCAATCACAAGTCAATCCCAAATCAAATCATAAGTACTCTGTATCACCAGTAACAGGTGATGAACAGTGACAAAGGTACCGGTATGCCATTGTGAATATGTACATGTACATACATATAGCTTGTCTTTTAATTTCAGTCTGATTGACTTGTTTTGACTTGTAATGACTTGTAAGGCCTTGTGATGCCTTGCAACTTTGGTAAGTAATAAGTGAAAATGGATCTTGCATTCCCACAGTAAACAGGGAAGCCGCATTTCCCAGATCCCATGTGTGGTATTTGTTTCATATGTTCCTTCCCTGGAACATATTTGCCAGGCAAATTTCCCAAAGCTGCAAGGCCCAAAGTGCACGTACTTAGCCAAATATGGCATAAATTATATACTACTCGGCTGGAAAGTATTACATTTTCTTCTAAACATTATTGCCCAATAACCTCCCCAAAAACCAACGAAAGCATTTTGCCATTTTCAAGCAGGTCCTAGTTTATCTCACATTTCTTTAGAAGTTCGAAAATGACATCATGTACCTACAGCTCCCAAATTTATAACTATTGTTTCTTAAAAAAAAATCCATCCATCAAAATCATTATCAATCCCCTGTTGAATTTTTTTTTATATAAAAAAGAAACCCTTCAGCTTTTTTTTTAGTTATTAAGGCATGATTCTTATTTTTGTTGTCATACAAATATTTATATTGAGGTTGACATCAAAATAATACCCTCCCTATTTTGCATCCTAACCATTCTCCTAATATTTATGACTGTACTCACCATCACCACCATCGCCTTCACCACTACCATCACCACCACCGTATTTCACCTTTACTTTGTCAATTTTCACTCAAGAACAACACTTTTTTTTTACCTTTGTTGAAAACTGGCCAATGTTGCATAGAATAGAAACCACGATATGACAACTTTTAATTTGGCACAACGTCATATTAAGTTGAAACTGTTGTTTTGTTATTTTTTTTTCTATTGTTTTATTTTCCTTTTTATTTTTCATCATTTTGAGATGCCATATTTTTTTTAAAGGCACATGTGGCTTGATGCCTTATCTGGTAAAAATCATGATTTTTTTTTTATATTTTGGCACTCTTTAAATTATGTTGAGACTGCTAAGTTTAAGTACGTGTATGTGGAAGCACTCATTATAATCTTCTGTACCTGCAATTTTCATTTCGGGATGAAACATGGATTTTAATTCCAAATCTAGGAAATACTGATTTACTACTCTGACGTTTCAATGGTGTTCAATAAACATATGACATTTCAGGGTGGTTTGAGTACCAGGCATTCCTTGAAATCAAGATATGACCATTGTATTAACAATGCATTGCCAACTTTTATATGTTCATAGCCCACTAATGTCTTACTCACTTGTTTAACAAACAATTTCGTCCATTTCCCCCAGAATATCCTAATCATAAATGTGCAGCCCTGAAATTCACCCCTTCCTTTTATTTTAAGTCCTCGCTTTCGGATTTTCTCTGATACTAAAAAGAGAAATAGCATAGATAAGAAACATATTTTAAGTGCAGAAATTGGAAGAAAAATACCCTCAGAATTTGAAAACAGATATCCGGAACCTGTAGTCATGTTGTGACATACATGTACTCATTGGATTTGACAGCAGATCTATGTGAGTTGACCAGCTACTAACCTTAACAAACCAAGACGAATGTTTGCCAGCACGTTTACAGTTACCAAGTCATTAAACACAAATGAAACACACCCCTTCCCCTCAATATCCCCTGCTATATGATCCTATGCATCATGCGTTATTTGAGTTGTCTATCAACACAAAGTAGACCGCTTTTTCTATTGAATCTAAAATATCAAGTCATGTTCATAATACCTATTGTGAAAAGATACTGTAACCAGTTCAGAGTTAGTACCGGTACATGTAATTGAGGCGTTTATTTTCTCCCAAGTATTGGTAATGGCAGTGCAACAGTGTGACTCTGTATTTTTTTCATAACTGAATGCTTCTTTGATTGATGTGAATTTAGTTTCGTTTTGTTTGTGGTCTTGTTCCCAGGCCCCAGAAGGCGAGGAGCAGCCCAGCACAGAGGTGGACCTGTCTATCTCCAATGAGAAGATCAAAGTTCTCAATGCGGACACACAGGTCAGACACAAAGTTCACTCCATCAGAACTGAACTAAGTCAAATGGTGAATGGCATGCTTTCCCCATAGAGATTGTACTATGACCGTGTTAAGTTTCACATTTTCGATGAAGTCACTACACCATCCAAAAACATCCCAATTACATGGAAATTCTATGCAGAAAATATTGCTGAGAACTAATCATATGCAATAGAGAGGTTTCGCATCCGAACGGATGCGTGTGTGCAAACGGATCGGTAACCCTTATCGACCATTCGTTGTTTGGGATCCTGTACTGGGATGCAATATGCTTAGTTAACAGAACCGTTACCAACAAAAAATGGCAGCCTCAGATGAAAGTCTCATATCTGATGTTAATCCTGCTTTGAAATACAGACATTGCCAGTCTGCCAGATACACAACGTATGTTAAGCAGGTCATTTTATTTCAATCAAAACACACATGATTAATAAACCTATCAGTTAAGAGGTGAAAATCGATAATTTACAACGAATTTCACACTGACCACACAACTTGTAAAAAAAATATACCATCAATTGTGTGGCATTTTGATTGTTTACCTGCATATGCTGAGCAAATATATTTCTGCTTACCAGATTTCTGTGTTTAAGTCCGGTTCATACTCTGCGTGAAAGCAAACACGAATGCGACTTTAGACGTCAAAGCGAGTATCTGCGCTGCGAACTCGCAAAGTTGAACACAATTCCATTCTTGCGAACTTTGCAGTGAATAAATCTCGACGTTAAATTTGCTTCACGTTCGCATTTGCGTTAAGTATGAACCCGCCTTCAAGCGAACGCAAATGCGAATTTATGACGTCAAAGCGAGTATTTGCGCTGCGAACTTGCAAAGTTGAACACAATTCCATTCTTGCGAAATTTGTAGGGAATAATTTGTGATGTCAAATACGCTTCACAGTCGCATTGCGTTAAGTATGAACCCGCTTCCAAGCAGCTTCGTGACACTTACCCAAGTCTTTATTATTGGTTGATTTATTACAAACCACGTAATATTTCAGAAATGCTTTGATGCTAGGCAATTTCAGGCCGTCCTGATAACAATCAGTGCTTTTATATACCGGCACCACTCTAATGTACCTGTCTTCTCAGAACAGCTTTATGCAAAGCAAAGCATCTTTCCATAACATCAGTAATGGACCTTTCATATTACAATCAATCACCATCACTTCCACAAATTGTTTTGCTGTCATTTATGCATGAAGTGGAATGTTTTGGATCATATCTAATTGTGAGACTGCTCAATTGTATACAAGTAATGGCAATGATCCACCACTAATGGGTGGTGGGGGATTTTATAGCCTGGTTGATCCATTTACTGATGTGGCTCTCGTGGCTTGTGTTTAACAGCCTGAAATGACTTAAAATATTTATGTTCCCCATTACATGGTAAATCACTAATAAAATCAGAGATTGGAAGAGACGTGGTTTGCAACTGTAAAAAAAAAACCCAGGGGTATCTGGTAACTTTTGTCAGATTTTTTTACATGAAAATGCTCAAATTCCGTTACCCTTTGTTGTGGACACACAAGACACCGAATCAGTGGTCAACAATTTTCCAGTTTGTTCTACAGTACTTTGCAGAATTTGGTTAAATGATGATGATTTTGGAACAACCAGCCTTCTTTACTAAGCCAGACAGCACTCTTACCTAGCATTAGGGGAGCTTATAACAGTGACTCGTGTCGTGAGAAAATTGTCTGTGCGGAATTACCTCTGGGACTGTTGAATTAATTGAACGTGGATTGAAATCATGCAGACTTAACATCGAGCTAAAATAGCAGTGTATGAAATACAAACTCCTTGGTAGTATGTGCATGCCTAAGTGAATATGATTGGACAGTGACAGGTCATGTGTGAGGGTTAGAATCCATACATGTGTATATGGTAACAGAGACCAGATTTCAATGGAGTCCAAATTTCATAGGACAGCAGTTTGTTGTCTCTTTCAAACCGATTTCAAGCAGATGCTTTGTTGTTCCATTCACAAAGAGTAAAACAACCTTATCACCAGTTTTGATTTTCAATCAAGTCTTTGCATCTACCACAAGTGGTTGTAACTGTTCAATCTCTTCCTTCTCATTTTTTGTTGAATGCCATGGTTCAGTGGTTACGGTGTTTGGCTCGTGTACGATGGTGCATGGGTTCGAACCCTGTCAGGAACATGGTGTTTGTGCCCTTGGGCAAGACACTTAACTACAATTGCCTCTCTCCACCCAGGAGTATGAATGGGTACCTGTGAGGGTAGAGGACTGAATGTGCGCTGATATCGGCTGCCGTGTGGTCTCGTGGCCTGATGAATGGGGGAATAATTGTAAAGTGCTTTGAGATTGTTGGTACGATGGAAAGCGCTATGTAAGCATTACAATTTGTTTTTAATTTAACAGGAGACGATGATGGACCATCCCTTGAAGACCATTTCCTACATAGCGGACATTGGTAACATCGTGGTCATCATGGCCAGACGGCGAGTGACCAGGACTCTGGACGAAGCCATGGAAGACAGTGGTATGATGGTGGACTCCGAGGGCAGGCGACAACCTCGCAAAATCATCTGCCATGTCTTTGAAACAGAAGATGTGAGTAGGGCTTCAGTTATCTAATTTGCCGTTAATAATGTAGACTTGAAATCAAGTTTAGGCCGCCTGTGCTGCCTCGTTCCACCGGCGTTGACTAGTACTAGCCGCATGCATACTGTCCCAGGGTTACATGTAGCGCACGGTGTAATAACACACGGGAACGATTCCTGCATCCTTGGCCCCAATATGCGTGAACGTCGATTCCAATTACCGACTTGAATAATCTGCACCCGCGTTGTACACAAGGCATGGAACTTCCTATCAAAATTGGACGGAGCACTCTGATTGGTTAAGAATCAGGAGGATATAAATATTACACCTGACATTTACGCGTCTCAGTGCACGTGAGTGTACACGTGACTTGTTGAAAAACAAGAGTTTGACTTTATATTTTTTAACTTACCACTTAGTGTAATATTTAATGAAAATCGTTCAAAAACAGAGAAAAAAAAGAAGAAGCGTGCATTGATCAAGCATGCATGCAGACTATATCCCACTCCAATAATGGATGCTTCCCCAGCGATACAGTCGGGTTATCATTTCATGTTAAAATTACATGAAATTTGAATTCTGGCCTAACTACGTGTTGACAAATGTGGGTTTGAGATCAGAGAGAGAGAAGAGTGCATGGGGTATCTGGTGTTGGCACGATTAACATCAATTCATGTTTTCATTATAATAATTTTTTTTTTTATTTTTTATTTTTAAATATTACTTAAAGGGAAAATACAACATTTGCAAACATCAAAAAATAAAACTACCAAATCATTTTGAAATACCTTGCTGGACTGTTAGTGAATGACAGTGTAAAGCATCCTGTAAAATCATGGCACCTGGTATACTGTCATTTTCAAGAAAAGTGGTATTTTTGTATCAATTTCCAACGCTGATCGGCCGATCAGCATTGGAAAAAACTGGCCCCAATTGACCATCGCACTTGTTTGCAATCGATTACACACCTATGAACGGGTACAAGCCAGCTAGACTGGTTCCCTGACCTTACAATTCCCCAATGTATGTAAACTGCTCTGTTTCTTCTTAAATGGAGTCAGGGAACCAGACTACAGGAAAATGATTGTTTTTCTTGGTTTTTATAGCATTTTTGAACCCAAAACCTCAAAAAAGTCAGTGTAACTATATTTGCTATATATTTCCAACCCCCCAATTCCATCCATTTCTGAAAATTACAGCAAAAGCAAATGATGTATATTCCCTTTAATTCATTTGTTTATTTCATTTTTTGTACAGGGCCCTCAAGGAAAGCAGTTATTTAACTGAGGAGGCCACCCTGTTTAAATAAGACTGAAAATAAATAAAATAAAAATAATTCATAATTTGTCTAGCCCTCACAAAATCAATGTGATTAGAACTACTAGAGATGAATCCTGTATCTATTTCATTGGCGTGTGAAGAAAGTCCTTATAGTTTACAATGAAATTGATGGCAGCTGCCCGTTCAAGCCCAGATCTGTCCCCCGAGCATTTTTGTGTAGCGCAGGACGTGACGTCTTCATTTGAAACAACCACCTGATAAAACACAACCTGTAAACTAAGCCACCCGTTTTTTTCTCAACAACTGCAAGAAAAAACATCCATTTCTCTAATTTTCCCCGAGCATGAAATGTCAACATGATCACCCCGCAACAGGCAGTGACAACAAGGATATGCAATAAAAAGCTGTCAAAATACAGAATTATGGGGCGAAAACCTAGAAAATGAAGTTTGCAATCTTCTCTGTGTCGCCTTGGCTTTATTTTGCCTGCGGTTATTTTCGTTTGTGCAGTCTTGCAAAGAGTTGCGTCTGGCAGATATCAGTTGCTTGTCTTTGGCTTCGGTTGCTTTTTCAGCTTTCCCAAATTATATTTATCCTGTACAGCATGAAGATTACACCTAACACAGCTGAAGAACATCCCCTGAAATTTGTATGCAACTTTGAGGCTATCTGTCCGTTCCCATAAAAGTTGGAGCTCTTTGCAAGTGTGCAACATTGTCCAAGGAAAAATCAATTAGGGAAGTTTTGATTGTATTCAAGTCTGATGGACAACTGCATGTGTTCTTCTTCGCTCAGATGTTTTGTTTTGTTTCCATTAGGAAATAAATGTGTGCTTGGCTGGTTTTAAACACTCTGTTTAAGACCGGTCGGAGTCTGGAAGTTGATAATTACCCGAGCCAAAAATCGGTCCGAAGATCAAAACAAGTAAAAAAATATAAATTTCCAACGATTTTGTGCAACAAATTTACTTTGTGTTTTTCAGGACACCCCTCTAGCTATATTATGATATGTCCAGTCGTACAAAAAAATAAATAAATAAATAAAAACCACAAGTCGTACTGGGTGATATGGCGCAGAATGCAGCTGTGTCAGTGTAGTGTGAAGTTAGGACTATGAAATTCTGACACACATGTATTATTGCGCATGCCTACGTGAGGATTGTGAACATTCAACCAATAAAATGGTGCTGGCACCGGATTTCATAGGAGTTCAAATTTCATGAGACACTGTAAAAAGTGTTTATGACCAGCCAGCCGGTCTTTATCAACTGTTTAAAACCAGCCTCTCGACCAATGGGAATGGGTAAACTGTCTTAGGTATTAATGAATTCATTTTTATGAACAACTTTTTTATGTACATGTACTGTATGCAACAGCGTAAAAATACCTTATATTGAAAGACCATACGAACACATTAATAAGGAAATATGTGCATATGTAAATAATACCCTAGTGCTCAGTATGAATAACGGAAACAGGTTATGTTTGCATGTTAAAAAGTGGCATGGACTACACAGACATTACTCACACACATGAACAGACAGGATACAAGTTGTAACCTCAGTAAAATGACAGGAAATTCAGCTTGAGAAAACAGCCTAGTTCATAAATTCCTACTTCCTTGCCCACACAGGCAAGCGTACAGTCTTTACACACTCTTGTTCGGCTTAGTGAAGCTTTTTCTCCCCCCCCCCTTTTGTCTAGACGATTCCCTGCTAATGGATGGTGCTGCCCATTGATTTGAACTATTAAGTGCCGCGGGAAGAAATATTAGCAAAATAACGGTGGAAACTGTGTTTGCAGCGGGATTCCGTCGAGGACAAATAAAGTGATTCACTGTGACTACGTTTTTATTGGCATTTTAAACTGGTATTTGAGGAAGATTCATGTAGCTTGCCATGAGTACAATATCGATGGATTGTCACGGTTGTTTTAGGTAAGAGTATCTGGCAGAAGACATCGGTGTCATCCTCACGACCAAATAGTGTTTAGATCAGGAGTTTCGCCATCATTCTGGATGCATTAAGTGAGAGTGTCTGGGCTCAAAGCTCACTGTTGTAGCCTTCGATATTCTTACATTTGAAGCGATACCAGAGGGGGCAAAATCCCAGTTTGCGCTTCCGTGATGTAAAGTGTTCTCCTGTCAATCATTATCGCCAATCGGCAGCTTATCACTAATTGGCTGCCGTACCCCTCACCGTTGATGACTGATGCCTAATGATATCGATCCTTTGCCCTCCAACCAATCCAGGCTCAGCTGATAGCTCAGACCATCGGCCAGGCCTTTGCCATGGCCTACCTGGAGTTCCTGAAAGCCAACGGCATAGAAGACCCCCATGTCAATGAGCTAGACTACCATGATGTGCTGAACTCCCAGGAGATCTACGGTGATGACCTCATGCTCTTCTCTAACAAGGAGTGCGAGAAGGAGGTAAGGTGTACTCTTAGATCATTCCATTTTGATCACAAATAGTAGGTTGTTTACTTTGGCCTTGTTTTTCTTTTTTACCCTAGAACATTTTGCGGATGGTGAAGTGAACTCGCATATCCCAGTAGGCCATTCCATTTAAGCAGACTACATTTACTCTGCGTGTGATTTAGTCAGTTCAGTGTCTTGGGGAATTCTACTGCATGCTGTGGCAATGTTTTCATCAACTTGTTTATTTTACAAACTGGCAGATGTGTGGCGGTGGGAGATATGCTTGTCAGTTCATCCAGTTTGTGGTGGCTGGCTATGGGGAAAAGCTTTGTTCCTGCTTTTCATGATATTGTAGTTATTACAAAGATATAATTGGATATATATTGGTGTTGTGTATGAAGCTGTTGTGGGCACTTGCAATGCTGTTGTGGGCACTTATGATGCTGTTGTGGGCACGTTATGTTTGTCCTTATGTGGGAAAGGTATGATATTTTATGATACAGCTAGCTTTTCAATTTTTTTCCATTCTAATTAAAGTGTACAGGTATGGACAATTTGAAGCTGGATTGTAATTACTTTCAAGGGGATTTTTACTTAATATTTTTTTAAAAATCTAACTTTTATCAATGCAAATGCCCAAAACTCTAACAATAGATTATCTATGTTTTGAACTTGAGGGTTTTTGGTTACAAAGTTGTGTTATGGTCCAAATTTTTCAATTCATGAACTCATAAGTTCTAGTATAGAGAATATTTTTAAAAACTTTTAAAACTACAGGATGTTATGACATACCCATAACTTAAAGAAAGCAGTAGTTTGTGAACAACCTGTAAGTAAAGTGCTCATGAAGGGCAGTCACATTATATCTGGTTGTACAGGTGGCAGGTTCTCTGATGGCAAAAGCTACTGATGGCATGGGCCTGAGGGGGAAAGAATTCAGCCATCGTAATTATGATGATATTCCCACAATTCCACAGAAACGGGTACTGGGGAAATGAAAGCAATCAGAACCTATAACGAGATTCACTTTGAAGCGTGCCCCAAGGTACCTTGTTCCTTAAGCATGGTCCTTTTTATAGTCGAGGTGCATGCCCAAGAGACATGTTTCGGCAGTTCTGCGGAAGTAGTCATCAAAACAAGACACTTTATTTGATAATCAAAATCCACACAATTTAAAAGGACTGTAAAAGCTACGTCTCCTATGCCTCTAGGACTCAAACAATGTTGATTGATTAAAGGACTCTCTTTGTTTCAGTAATAGACGGTTCAAGAAAAAAAGGTTATTTATTTTTCACTCGTGATATTCACAAATTTTTCCTTTGGTCAATCTATCAAACTTTGCTGCAACGTATTGACTCCTTGCACAAGTACCCCCTCAACGGTTGCAGAGAGAGAGTTGAGGGACCACTGGGAGGGACATTTGAACACATTGCTGACGATGCTTGACGCTTAAATGCAAAGATGCTGGGGTTTGTGTATATTTAGAATAAAATGAGTCACGCGTACCAGTACTTCGTGCCAAAAGCACGCGAACCAGTATGCACATGCAGCGTGTCCCTCCACTAAAGTGGTCACAAATCCCATCTACGTGTAGTGTTCATACCCAGTGCTGTCTGAGAGCTTGTGTGACAGAATTCACAAGCCTGCTCAGTTGGGACTCGAACCCACAACCTCCTGCTTTCTGGTGTAGTCATGTTAACAACTGGACCACCACATAGCTTGCCATGATTGGCTTGCAGATTTGAATCTCACACAACACTTTTGTACATGATACTAATAATAAATAATAATACCGGAGTCTTATATAACGCACGTATCTACCAACAAATATGTACTCAAAGCGCTGGTAATTATGTTTATTTTTTTAAAGATAGGTAAATGAAATTTATGAGAAATATGAGACCCATTATGTGCCACCTTTATAAGGGTTTATAAGGTGCTGCGGCGCATATTGCAGCCACTGCCAGAAACACCGGGGCAAACCCATTCTCTTAACGATGAGTGTTACTGGGTTCTTTAACGTGCATTACACAACACACGGGACCTACGGCTTTACGTCCCATCTGAAGGATGAAGCAGTATGGTAAAGTGCCTTGCTCAAGAGCACAAGCACCATGTTCCCCGTCAGGATTTGAACCCATGTACCACGGCACACGAGTTGAACACCGTAACCATTGGACCACAGCCCCCACCAATACGGTTACAACAGGGAAGGGCAGAACCCAATATTAAAATGAAAATCTCCCAGACACAGAGAACGTTCATAAAAAAAAATCATTGTAAATGTACATGTATGTAACAGGTTCAACATTCTGCATCCGACAAGCTGATAATCAGCTAAGAAATGGCAGCTCTATTGACAGCAAACTCATACATCCGCTGAAATATCACAGTGCATTGTTTTAATTCTCTCTAATTAAGCAAATTGATTTTTGTTTTAAATTTTGTATATTGATCGGCATGTATGTGTAGAATTGTATGAGAAACTGATGAAAAATATCTGGTCTTACTTTTTTTTAGGTCCTGATTGAGAAGGAGCGAGGTGAGATCATGGGCGTGGTCATCGTGGAATCTGGGTGGGGCTCCCTCATCCCCACCGTTGTCATAGCCAATATGTCCCAGTTTGGGGCGGCGGCACGCTCCGGCAAACTCAACATCGGCGACCAGGTCATGTCCATCAACGGCATCAGCCTGGTGGGCCTTCCACTGGCACAGTGCCAACAGATGATTAAGGTGAGGGGTCCTCCGCTAACCAGTTCGCGTCGAAGGCCGTGATAACACGCACTGGTTGTTTTTATACACAGGCACGGCTGACGGGATAAGAAGTCAAGATTGCCTCGACTCACCTCCGGGTGACGTCTAAACACGCTAATATCTCATGCCTTTTGTACACACACACAAAGTCAGTGAAGTCTGTGGAGGCGGACTGTGTTGATCTTGAATTGGCCGCTGTGCACGGCCTATTGTTGTACAATTACGCTCCAGTGCATATCCTGGAGTATTGAAACATATGAGGTTTCGGCAAGAAATATCGTACAAATACTGTTGAAATTACTCTTGCGAATCAGTTTTTGTGGCATTTGGCTGTATATCAGAAGTTGGCTGGAAAATTTTGCCTTTTGCGAAAATTGCAATTTTCAGTCGGCCTCAAGCCAGGTGGGTTGAAGCCATCACCCTCGGGCAACACCGGCCTCGCTTGCTGCGAGCGGGTTGCTTACAGATATTTCCGGCCTCGCTTGTTGCGTGTTTATCTGTCATCCGTTCTGAATACCGCAAAAGTTTTGCGCGTATACGCGGCCTCCGACGCGAACTGGTTATTAGCTCCCTTTTTGTTTGCAGATTCCAGCTCCATATATGGTATGTTTTCATTTTTGTTGTGCATTCCTGTAATTCCAAGAAACAGGTTGGGGTTTTCCCATTCGGTTTTAACATTGTTCAGTGTCACAAGTCAACCTGCAGCCAGAGATGGAGCCAACATTTGAATATTTTGTCTTTTATTTTCAAACTCCATTGTCTTCTCTTTTTTTCATTTACCCTGTAGTCCTTGAAGAGCCAGAGTCTGGCCAAGTTCAACATCGTCTCCTGTCCACCGGTAACCCAGGTCCTCATCAAGAGACCTGATACGAAGTACCAGCTGGGATTCAGCGTACAGAACGGCATCGTAAGTTTTTGGAAAAGATTAGAAAAAAACTTAAGCAAGAAGCCTTCCATAATTTTGCTCCCATAAGAAATCACCTTGATGTCATTATGTCTTCAGCAGACAGTTTCACGAAACTTAACGCAATGGCGTGATCCCACTTGCGCCATAAATTATTGCATTTCACGAAAGTTTCGCATTTCACGAAAGTTTCATAGTGTTAAGAATGCAACTTACATAACAACTTTTAGCGTAACTTGTGCAATTATTTTAGGTGGTGTAAGTTGTGCCATATGTTGTGCCGTAGCGATTGAAAATTAACTATATTACTAGCAAATAGTGATCGCCTGTCATTACACGACTTATGTAGGTTGATACAAGACACTCACAGTTTGTGTTTGAGGTAAATGAATTGCTATTTTACTTGTGACAGAATTTTTAAAGTGCCGCACGATTCCGAAGACAGTCGGACAAAACTTTCAAACTGGGGGTAGAGGTGATTGGATGACTGTTTCAAGACCGAACAAAATCATAAATACAAAAAACAATGTAAAAAAAAGCTGTTATTATCCTCGTCCAAGATGTGTACATTTAAAATGTTGCGCAGCTACGCCAGGTTTCATGAAATCGATTGTAAGTTTGTTGCACAGCTGCGCAACAAATTTGTTGCGTAAGTCTTACGCACGGCATAAGTTAACACTGTTTTGTGAAATCGGCTGGAGGGCTTTAATTAAGTTAAGCATACTAAATTAAAAAAGCAAGTTAATATTGAAAATCCAAATTTGATTTCTCTCCTTTAGATCTGCAGTTTAATGCGAGGTGGTATCGCCGAGAGGGGTGGGGTCCGGGTAGGGCACCGAATCATCGAGATCAATGGGGCCAGCGTTGTAGCTACGGCACATGAGAAAATTGTCGAGATGTTGTCCACGTCGGTTGGGGAGGTGAGTCCTTCATGCTCAGTTTGAATTCTTCAAATATTTTCCGGCTTCCAGAGGGTGTGGCCCAGTAGTTGGGGTCTGTGACCCATAGTCCGAGGGTTCGAATCCAGCTGCTGATCATGTATTGTGTCCTTGAGCAAGCCACTGTACCTCCACTTGCCTCTCTCCACTGAATATTATAAATGGGTACTGGTATTATCTAGGGAGTAACCTGCGATGGAATGGCATTTCATGCAGAGGGAATAGATATATTCACAGTTTTGTATTCATTCCTTTGGACATGTTATTCCCAAAAGGTTTCAAAGAAAGTATAAAAGGTTTGTTAATGGAAGAGGTATATGCCTGAATTCTAATAACGTCCAAAACTTGCCTGAGGAACGATAATTTCTGAGCCTGTAGTTTTCTCTTTTACACAAAGAGACAATCGTTGTGAGGATTGCCGACTCTGCATAAAAGACTGAGAATTAGCATTGTCTGTTGAGTCCTTCCTCTTTCCTCCGGCTATAAACCCGTAACTTTGACGATGATTTGTTTTAAGTTGTCAGTAGCTCAAGGCGGTGAGCTATTCTTAACGCACTGTTTGATCAAAATGGACGTTGAAAGGTTGATGAACAGCTTTGCCTTGCCGAGTTGCTGCATGGTCTTGCCTACGGACTCTGTCAAAATTTCACCTTGCATGAAAACGACATGTTGGCCTAGGGACAATCTGGTCCCAGTCCCCCCAGGGAGAGTTAAGGCCTGGTTGACATTTCTTGGCTGCGGCAGTTAGCCATGCACCTGTGGCAGCGGCTGCAGTCACTTCCCATAGACCTGTGTGTTAATGCAAGCCACAGCTGAGTAATTTTGCACGCGGTCTATTGAAGTTAGTACTTAATTACCAACAGGTTACTTGAGGTTAAGGCATCAATGTCCAAACTTTGTATATTATGGCTGTAAGGCACATCTTGGACATTAAAGGGCATCATGCATTGCCGTGGCCTCATGGTTAAGGGCATTGAATTTGTGGTCTGCGGGTAATTCCGCAGGTTGTGGGTTTGAGTCCAGCCTGGGGTTGTGGTACGTGTGTCCTTGGGCAAGGCACTTTGTCGCTCATTGCTTCTCCCCACCCAGGTGTAAATGGGCACCTGTGAGGGCAGAGATGGTTATTGTGATTGATTTTAGCTGCTTTGCGCCGAAATGGCAGCATGGAGCTGTATACTCCCCAGGGAGCTGAGATGGTAATTGGAATGTTTAATTGGCACAATGATCAGGGGTAATAGTAATGTAAAGCGCTTTGATCTTGGTTAAAATCGCTATATAAGAAGCTGTTATTATTATTATTATTATGACTCTCTAATAACTCTCAAATTAATACAATGCATATTTTTTTAGCCTTTTGCCACCATTTTCTAAAAAATATTTAAAGGCCTTTCTTTGGTTTTAGGTCAATAATTTGTACAGCAAACCACCGAATTGTACAGTGAGTGACTGTAATGTTAGCAACGGCAGGTTTCAGGAAACAGCGTGCCAATAATACATCGTCGACAAGTGTACTTTGATATAACATTGCTGATCGTGTAATGGCCCGCTCAACATTGAGAGGGTGAACATTAGTCAGAATGTGATTGTCATTTTTTGTCATGAATGACATCTTTAATACCTACAGTTTCAGGTTTCATTCACAGAAATGTTGAATTTGATGAATTAAAGTAGGAAAAAACTACCATTTTGAGTGCATCGTTCTGTTGTTCTACAACAGAGCCAGCTTTTTCAAAGCCTGTTTTCTCAGTTGTGTAATTTGAACTCCAAGGAAGTAATTAATATGCGTCATGTCTCCAGAACGGGAGGGGCTATGGAGCTCTATTATATACCAAATGAAAGCTTACGTTTTGGGATTTCCAATGATATATAACTCAATTTCACTTATTTGCGACAGAATACCCTTTTTGTACAGCGAGTCACATATATTCTGGATGAAGGTCATTTTTACAGCCTCTTTTGTAAATTTTGATTTTCCTTTTTTGTTTTACCTGGAACTGTCAGTATAAGAAAAAAGGCCTTTCACACAGCTCATGTTTGTTTTTCTCTTTACAGATTCGTATGAAGACAATGCCGCTCTCGATGTACAAGCTACTAACGGGACAGGAGCAGCCAGTCTATATCTGAGAGAAAGGAACTCTCATAATCGAATGGAAACAAATCATTTGTAAATATTTGCACATACATGTAAGAACTAAACCAGGAAGAAAAATAAACTGTGATTATTATTGTCACTGTTATTCCAAAGAAATCTACGTACAACATTCCCGGTGCGCTGTGGAGGTTGCAGGAGGATAGAGGTTCGAACCTCACCCGTGTCACTTGTAGTCAACCAGATAGGCGCCATAGTGCTTTGAGCCTGGCCTGCTGAAGCACCTCAGTGGGGATCATCACAGCTGCGCCGATTTGCGACACTGTACCAGAACCACACGCGATTTAAATTGGATGAGTACATATTAATTGTAGTCAGAAACCAAGATTGGTTTTGGATTCATTCCGCTGTGAGCATCCAAGGAGTTGCAACGGAATGCCAGCTCCTCCTCAGGATTTCTGGGTAACGGTTGAGCTTCATAGAGGGCGCTCTTGATGTGCATTGCTGCTGTGATCACTTAGGATGCCATCGTAATCATGACGTTTTGGAGTTGGCTGACGGCTCCGTTCCAGCCACTTTTCCGGATGATCGGAGACTGCCCTCTATTGATCCGGAGATACCAGTCACTCGGTAGACGGGTGAAACGATGTACCAAGGCACATACAACCCTGCCAATGCTGGTTCCCAGACTTGTGGATGGGGTAATGAAGAACCTAAGCAGGATACCGGTAATCGTGAGCCAATGCGGGCCTGTTTGTTTGGCACAGATCCAAATCCGGAATCTGTTTGTTTGTTTTGCTTTGATCAGGATCACGCAATTCAAGGATCCTTCCTGATAGTTGGATAAGCAGGAGGGGACTAACAAAACAATGTTAACTGCCTCCATGTTTAATTTTGGCTTGTCAGGCGCAGGTTTGTTTGCTATTGCACTGTACAGTGGAACGCCGCTATGATGAACATCGCGGGATCCACCGAAATTGTTCGTAATAGCAATCGTTCGGTATAGCGATTTTAAGCTGCCGGTGCTCCGGTACTCACTTTTCAAAAAATAGCGCCCTTCAGAACATCACCCTGCATGCCCTGGTAGTTACTGAAAGACGACTTTGAATAAGTGTCGACTATTGAATACGTGTCGACTATTGAATGATGTAATTACACAGTTTTTGAGCTTACTACCAACAGCAGTGGGGGGCTTTCCCTTTCTATTCCTTGGGGAAATAATAGCCACTTTGTCGCTCTTCTGTAAAAAATTTTCAACAACAATGTTCAGTACGTTTTGTACACAAACATCGGGAGCTAAGCACCATGTTCCGTATAGCGGAATGTTCGGTATAGCGGTGTTCGGTATAGCAACGTTCCACTGTACTGGTTCCAAGGATGTGGATTTGGATCCGTGCCAAAACTAATGCACCCTCAGTTTCAGGGATGAAGTGGAAAAGAAAGTGGACGCCATGTTGCATTTCCACCGATGAAGGGATGGTGCTGTGTTATGTCAACTGTATACATATTTTAGGCCAGTTCTGACCTTAAATGAATGTAATTATATAACAGACTTTTTTCCTGTCCTTTCCAAGCAATGCGTTCAACATACACTTGCACGAAGTGGAACATTTTCCACAGCTAAAATTTGTGAACGTTTCTTGATTGAAATTGGTTTTCTTTCGTTCAAATTTACTGTACGACTCGGATCCAGTCTTATTGCTGTGTGTCACATCCCATATGACTTGTGTAACGTGTGTCACATTCCATATGAGGTATGTAACGTGTGTCACACCCCATATGAGGTGTGTAACGTATGTCGCATTGGCAGTTTAGACCTTTTTTGTCAAATTGGGAAATGTGGGAACTCTAATTTTGCTACTTAATGTCGAGGAAATGGATTTCTCTGAATATTATCAGATATATGAGACTTCGTTTAGAACTTTTTACAGTTGTAAAACCATAATGAGATTTCTCCTGATCAATTCCAATTTGAATGTATCTAGAAACAGGCCTTCATTTCAAATTGTACCAAATTAAAATGTATATATGTGTTGAGCTATGATGTTGATGATCTCATAGTACAAAACCTCATGCAAATGTTCATTCAATAATTATTTATTTAATCTGGGACATAATTTCAGATTGCTGTAACTGATCTTACAATATTGAATTAATTTGTTTTGTTTTTTTTCCTATTTGAAACATTTTCTTTTTTACCTTTTTTTTTGGGTAAAGTTACTGTAAACAATCATCAAGATCATATTTATCATTATAAGAGCAATCACATCTTCAATTCTCGCATTTATACAAGCTGAATAAAATACTTCTCAATTTAAGGTTACAAATATTCTGCATCCTTTTTTTTTTAGGGTAGAGGTGTTACTAATATGCTAGTTCATGAATCATTTAATTTATTTTTCTAATTTGTTAAAAAAAAAGTCATACATGTATGCAGAAAACATCTTATAGAAAATTGTAAAAAATATGAAACTAAACTACAGTTGTAGGCTTAAGGAAAAGTGAGTAATAAAAAAACGTCCAAAATATAAGTGACATACCGGTACATGTATTTAGACACAACTATGTGAAGGGTAACTCAGTATATGTAAGTATTGCATATTTGTTTGGTTCTTCAAAGTTCTTGGATACATTTCATAGTTACACCACAAACGGACGCATTAAGGGTGTCAATTTGTGGAGTTAGTGCTCTTTAAGCAGAAGTCACAATTAATTTTTTCAAATATCTGAAATTCTGAATTGTATTCATTACTAATTTGTATACATATTTGTTTCACTTTTTCTCTTCGTTTAATTTGTTGTTTTTTGTTTTCGTTTTCTGATTTATGGCATTCGATTCCTTCATCAACTTCAAGGCTCTGAATATGATGTTTAAAGAGACTGTTTTGGACATATGAAGTTTAAAGAGACTGTTTGGGACAGGTTTATGAAATGAGGTGCTCCTCTTTGTGTGAAAATATTACCGAAACAAGCCTATTGGTCGAAATGAAAGCACGCCATACAAACCATGAACGTACACACAAGACTCAGGTATCTTAACGAAACCTATTTTTGAAGTTCTTGACCAGAATTTGAACACTTTCGCTGAATATTGCTTCCTGGGTACATAACTCATCTGTCACGCACAGGTACGTGTATGTTAAGCCATACCACTAATTGAATCAGATGTGCGATTGAAAGAAAAGGTAATAACGCTTTTGATTCTACGTACTTTTGTAAAAGAAATAACTGTGTTAAAAGTGAGTGGAGCTATACAGTGAAGTACACGTTTGTATTAACGATACTGATAGCAGGGGAAATTAACCGATGGCAAATTGCTAAACGCGTATGAAGACTCGTAAACAAGAGTAAACTCTGCTTTATCCAGGGCCAAGTTCGCGCAAGGACTATAGTTGACCGATGGTTAACTAACGATTGCCCGAACTCTGTCTAGTCGACGGTGGTTGACTACGCTAGTCGACTATTCGGAACCAGCCTACTGGGGTTGGCTGCTTCGCTGGTAACCAATAGCCGCACGCATTCATAACGCTAGCTGAGAGCCAGGATCCAGAAGTTTTGCCATGACATTTTGACCAGCGTTTGACTGGAGACGTTCGCACGTTGCTATCAGTGCGCAGGCGTAAGGTACGTCACAAATCAACCACTAGTTGACTAATGGTCCTTGCCCGAACCTGGCCTTCGTGGTACTAAATCTGAAACCTCCGCATGTCCAGTGGTGTCGTAAGAAATTGCGATTGTTATAAAATGGTTCTTTGCTCTTAAAGATATACATGTACTCGTCAATCACATGTGTGTATTAATTGGTCGTCTCAAGAGACATGCGCAGTATTGAAAGGAGGCCAAATTCAGGGGTCCCATTTTACTTATTCACTCTGTCCGTTATCAAAGCTGTCCGTATTTAATGTGCGTAAAAAAAGACACATTCAGTTCTTCATTTTATTTTGTTATACCTCTGTCTTGAATTCTTTCACTGTATTTTCATTGGCGTAAACGATCACGTGTTAAGTTTATATAAAAAGTCATGGCACACTCCCTGTGATATTGTGGGATATCATGTTCATACGGTGTGAAAGGCTTGTATCGTTTGTACTGGTACCCACGCTATTTCCACCATGTTTTCACACATGAGTGGGATCAGTGAATTAGCAGACGATCAGCTGTTTGGAGCAAGCGACATGCATGTGAGTTTGACGTTCGATTTTCATGATTTTTGTGTTTCCTGTTGTTTGTTTTCGTTAATTTCACATCAAAATCCAAAGAATCCAAGACAGAGGTAAAACAAAACAATTGTTGACTGCTGTGATGTGTGGGATAAGGCGTTTTTAAACAGTAACATCCTCGGGGTGCATCGGGTGTTATTCACCCCGCGGGTGTTCAAAACGTCATATCCCACATCACAGCAGTTAACAATTGTACTTAAATACGAAACAGCTGAAGAAACATGGGACGATTATAATATGCTATAATTCGGAACTTGATGCATGATGTTGAAGTGTTTCCAGTTTGGGACAAATATGAAAAAAAATTCTTAAAAATCGTAAAATGTTATTGTTACTGTAACTTTAAAAACAAAAATTGAGTATGTTGATTAATACCGTGAGTATTACGTGTACAATCCAATGAAATGGTGCTTTTTATTTAAATATTACTAAGTATGAATTGATATGGTAGAATGACCATTGTGTTGATGTTAGTGTCGAGACAAGTTTATGGAGTTAGTTTGTAATAATAAGTCAAAAAAAAAATCGCTCAATGACAGTGGATGGAATTATCGTTGCTGGGCATTAATTGGAGAAAAAAAATAACTGTGATTTTTTTGTAAGAAAAAAATGAGGTCTGCAAATGCACTTGTAATAGCATGCAACCTTAAAACTCGCATAATTATTTAAACGCAGCCGCTGAAAGTATAAACTGTTGATTTCTGGTGTATTTCTGTGGTATAAATATTTTTTTTTAAAGAAAATGTTATGCTTCCACTGTTAGTAAGGAAGACATGAGATGTTGTAAATAGATACATTGTATAGGAAGGGGGCGTGGCTGTCTTAAACTGCGGGCGAGCTTGTAT